GATACCAAAAAAATTGTGTCTATTTTTAGACTAATACAGAAATTTTCGTTTTCATTTATTTCAAATTAGATTAGGATGCCAAAAAATTTGTGTCTATTTTTAGACTGTAATACAGAATTTGTAATTTTAATTTATTTCAAATTAGATTAGGATACCAAAAATTGCGTCTATTTTTAGACTGTAATACAGAACTTTTCGTTTTCAATTATATCAGATTAGATTAGGATATAATTAAATTTTGTGTCTATTTTTAGACTGTAATACAGAATGTTTCGTTTTCATTTATTTCAAATTAGATAAGGTTACCAAAAATTTTGTGTCTATTTTTAGACTGTAATACAGAATTATTTGTTTTCAATGTCTAATTTCGAATGGAAATTCGATTCTTTCTCTTTAGACGAATACACAAAATGCTGTATTGAATGCCATTTTTCTCTTTTCCAGGCTACGAATTCGTATGCAAGGGACCAGTGGCTTCATTCTATAATATGGAAGGTGAGATTTTGCGTAAAAAAAAAAAAAAAAATCATTGTGTAAATATTAAACAGTCTTGAATAATTTTGTGAAAGTTTGTCATGAAATTGTGACAAAACTATAATTAGTTTAAATAAAACCAAAATAGTGGTAATTAACCAGTTAATTAACCAGGTTTATTTTTCACATATATTTTATATTATTCTTATTTATTTTTAGCGACATATTTTTTTTCCTTAGACATGTAATTATACTTTTATGAATAATCTGTAAAGAGAATATACTATATATATATATATATATATATATATATATATATATATATATATATATATATATATATATATATATATATATATATATATATATATTTAGTTAAACTGTTTATTTGTGATGCAGATATAACACCTATATAGAAAAAACATTTAGCTAGTAATAAAATGGCTACATGTTTATTTGTGATGCAGATATAACACCGATATAGAAAAACATTTAGCTAGTAACATAAATGGCTAAATGTTTATTTGTGATGCAGATATAGCACCTATATATAAAAAAAACATTTAGCTAGTAACAAAAGTGGCTAACTGTTTATTTGTGATGCAGATATAACACCTGATGTAGAAAAAACATTTAGCTAGTAACATAAATGGCTAAGTGTTTATTTGTGATGCAGATATAACACCGATGTAGAAAAAACATTTAGCTAGTAACATAAATGGCTAAGTGTTTTATTTGTGATGCAGATATAACACCGATATAGAAAAACATTTAGCTAGTAACATAAATGGCTAAATGTTTATTTGTGATGCAGATATAGCACCTATATAGAAAAAAAAAATTTAGCTAGTAACAAAAGTGGCTAACTGTTTATTTGTGATGCAGATATAACACCGATATAGAAAAACATTTAGCTAGTAACAAAAATGGCTAACTGTTTATTTGTGATGCAGATATAACACTGATGTAGAAAAAAACATTTAGCTAGTAACATAAATGGCTAAGTGTTTATTTGTGATGCAGATATAACACCTATATAGAAAAAACATTTAGCTAGTAACATAAATGGCTAAGTGTTTATTTGTGATGCAGATATAACACCGCTATAGAAAAAAAATTTAGCTATTAACAAAAATGGCTAACTGTATATTTGTGATGCAGAATAACACCGATATAGAAAAAACACATTTAGCTAGTAACAAAAATGGTTTTCTCAAAATAATTATTTTAGTGCTATGTATTTATTACGTTAAAGGTTTCTGTGAATGCATTTTACCTTATCCTAATATTCATGTTTTCAGAAAAATGTGTATAAATATCGTAATGTACTGCGGACAGCCAAGAGGCCTGAAGTTCTTCTAAAGGAGCTGAAAGTAAGCTTAAAATCTTTATTATGTCGGTATGTATGTATGATGACTATTTATACATGTATACTAAAAAAGTGGGATCTGTGTCTGTTACAACACCTACAAACCTAAGTTCTTCTAATGGAGCTGAAAGTAAGCTTAAAATCTTTATTAAGTCAGTATGTATGTATGATGACTAGTTATACATGTATACCATAAAAGTGGGGTCTGTCCCTGTTACAACACCAACAAACCTATTGCAATGTTCATGGACCTTGAATCTCCTGTTGTTGTTTTTTTCTCTCTGGCTGAAAACTTATCTAACGCCACCACTATATAACTCTCCAGCTGTTGCTGCTCTTCTAGCTCCACTGATGTATCTTTCTTTGAATATCTCTCCTCTTCCCATATGTCCTTGCTCTCTTCTCACCCACATGCTGAAGTTCTCTATGATGGAGACTTCAATATACATCATTGTTAGTGGCTTCATTCAACTCACACTGATGTGGGAGGAAGTGAGGTCCTTGATATTTCTGAAAATAGCGATCTGGAGCAGATTATCAAACATCTTACACATGCTCGATAGCCACAACCATTGCAGCTAACGTTTTTGACTTGTATTTCTTCTAATCTTACAAACAAGTCATATTTTGTGCATTCCCCTCTGGGTAAGTCTGACTACTCTCTAATCTCAAACCATCCATTTTTGCACCCCCACCAACAATTCCTCCTGCCCTCCATCATCTTTGGCTCTAAAAGGGTACCCAGTGTGATGATTTGCATAACTTTCTCCTTGATATTCCATGGAATGACTAATGCTTTCGGACCCTCATCCAGAACCAGTAGCCCAAAAATATCAAATTATAACCCTTGGAATGTAGGCTTTCATCCCAACCTCTGTCTAAACTTTTTCTTTCGCTAATCCTCGGTTTGACCTTACCTGTTCCATGAATATTCAGGCCAGGGATCGGGCATACCGGTCATACCAAGCCTCTTTTGATATGACTTGTTCAGCTTTTATTACATCTAGGAAACGCTGCTCTCTACAGAATTGTAGATCTACAGTTTCCTCTCTTAGACGGAAATTAATAGCCTGTGCTCTTCTCTCACTGATAATTATTTCTGGTCTCTAGCCAAAAAACTCTCCAAAAACCTGTTACCCAAGTTTTCCCCTCTCATTCCTCCTTACAGTTCTATAGTTTGCTCTCTCACAGGCAAAGCCACTCGCTTTATCTTTTATTTTACTGTTGACTCCTCTGTCATTGATTTCAACACACTTTACCCCTCTCTAACCCTATGCCCACCCCTATTCTTTCTACATGCAAATTCCATAGGTTTCTTTGCTCTCTGAAGACAAGCAAGGTATCTGGACCTGATGGCATCTCTGCGAGGTACTTTTGGGAGTTTGCAGGTGAACTGTGTCTTGTAATTTGTCATCTTTTTGCCTCTTTCTCTCACCCAGTATTTATCCTTCATCATCAGTCCATTTCAATGAATGTTGACCTTTCTATTCATTCCAACTAGGTTGACCAATGGCACCAGTTGCCCGTGGGGATACTACAGCTAAAAGGTCTCTTGGAGTGAAGTAGGACTCTCTAGGACAGTTCGATGTTAAGTTTTCCTTCAGTTGCGGTTTATTTTCTATGCTTACATTAACACCGAAAATTCTTGGATATTCTTTGCACATATATTATTATCCCTTCACATCTGACAAGTCACAACCCTCCCCATCTCCGTTTCTCATAACTTTATGTTTTATTTGTGCTCAGGCCCGATGAGAGCAATTTTTTTTTCTTTGCCTGTCCTGGTGTCACAATAACTTAAAGAATTATACCGTAACCTCAGCTATCGCTAAAATTTTTGAAATTTTACTCAATTTTCAATTCTTGAAACATCTTTAACATAATTCGCTTTTTTTCTGATCACCAGCATGGCTCCAGCAAAGCAAAATCTACTGGTGACCTATCTCACTCCTGTATGGTCATCTTCTCCAAAAAACAAAATAAGGAAGTCTTTGTCATTGCTCTAGACATCTCTAAGGCTTTCGAAAGAGTGTGCCATAAGGCTCTGTTGACCAAACTTCCTGCTTATTACTCCTTTTCTCTGTTCTCTGATTTCTAGTTTTAATCCTGAACCAGTGGAGACGACTAGTGAAGAGATGCGACCCCATATGAAAATGGGAACGCAAATAGAGGAAGAAGAAGAAGAATCCTGAACATATTGTATCTGTGGTTGTTGACGGTGCGATATCTATCTCATTCCCAGTTACCAGTGGGGTTCCACAAATGGTTATGTTCTTTCACCTACTCTATTCCTTCTCATCATCATCAATCTTTTCCAATCTCCATCCTCCTCTCTTCTCTACGCCTCTGCCTTCACTTCACAACCTTCATTTACTTCTCATAATCAGTTTTGGTCACTCATTTTTCAACTCCCAAGTCCGAGTTACAGAGAGTGTCTGAATGGGGCACCCAAAATTTATCTAAATTTAATGCCTCCAAGACACAGTTTCTATATCATTATCTTCTCCTATTAACCCCATTGTCTTCGAAACTAAAAAAAAAAATTCCTGCTTAATTCTATCAACATATTATGAATTCAGATACCCTCTAATTGTCTTAGACCTTTCTTAATGTGCTTATTTGATATATATATATATATATATATATATATATATATATATATATATATATATATATATATATATATATATATATATATATATATATATATATATATATATATATATATATATATATATATATATATATATATATATATATATATTTACGCAGATGCTTCCCTACTTACAAACAACTGAGTTACGAACATTTATAGATAGGAAAAACCTACCATCATCTACCCATGTATTAATGCATGTATTACTGTAATGTACGCTATTATTACATTAGTATTACTGTATTAAAGTTCATTAATACTGTATACTTTATGTTTTATGTAGCAGTTAAGTGTGTTTAACCTAAATAATGTACAGTACTGCATATGTGTGTACTGCACAGTACTCTCTCTCTCTCTCTTTTTGTTTTTGTTTTACCTAAATACAACTTATGAACAATTCCACTTATGAATGGACTTCTGGAACCTAACTCGTTTGTAAGTAGGATGGTGTCTGTGTATCAAATAAACACATTGATATATGTGAAACCATGAAATCTATTTGCCCCTGGCCAGGATTCGAACCTAGGACACATAATTTTTGTGCCAAGGCGCTACCAACTATGCCACCAAAGGTCCAAGAGAAGAAGCACACCTCTTAAATAGCTACTAAGCTAGGTAATGAAAGCATTCTTCTGAATGCTTTTTGTCCATTGAATAACTTTTTCTCAACCTCACTCGTGGCTTCGTTTTTGCATTTAATTAAAATCATGTGCTATATAGGGATCAACAGTTATCATATAAACACATTTTCATATGTGAAAGCATGAATCATATGTTGTCCCTGACCAGGATTCGAACCTAGGTCACATAATTACTGTGCCAGGGTGATATCAATTACATCATCAAAGGTCTAAAAGAAGAAGCAAACTCTGAGCTAACTGTTAAGCTAGGGGATAAACACATTCTTCTGAATGCTTATTGCACATTTCACAGCTTGTTCTCAGCCTCACTTGTGGCTTTATTTTTGCATTTAATTTAAATATCATGCTATATAGGCATCAACAGTTATCAAATAAACACATTAACATATGTGAAAACATGAAACATATTTTTCCCTAGACGAGTATTTGAACCTAAGTCACATAAGTACTTTGCCAAGATGCTACCAGTTACACCACCAAAGGTCTTAAGGAAGAAGCAAATCACAGCTATCTACTAAGCTAGAGAATGAACACATTCTTGTGAATGCTTTTTTGTTCATTTTACAGCTTATTTTCAACCTCACTTGTGGCTTCATCTTCACATTTAATTTTAGCCCCGTGCTATATAGGCATGAAAAATTATCAGAAAAACACATTAACATATGAGAAAACATGAAACCTATTTTGGGTTTGAGCAGGTTTCGAGCCTAGAACACATGATTATTGTGCCAAGGCGCTACCAACTACACCAACCTAAGGTCTAATAGAAGAAGCAAACATCTAATTGCTAAGCTAGGGAACGGACGCATTCTTCTAAATGCTTTTTATTCAACCTAGGACATATAATTACTGTGCCAAGACACTACCAACTATGCAAAAGTTCTTAAAGAACAAGCAAACCTCTCAGCTAACTGATAATCTAGGGAGAGAACACATTCTTCAGAATGCTTCTTGTGCATCTATTTCTTATTCTCAACCTCACTTGCAGCTTCAATTTGGCATTTGATACAATTTCATGCTATATAGGCATCAACAATTATCAAATAAACACATCGACATATGTGAAAACATGAACATATTTTGTCTCTGACCAGGATTTTATCCTAGGACACATAATTACTGTCCCAAGGCGCTACCAACTACACGATCAAAGTTCTAAGAGAGGAAGCAAACCTCTCAGTTAACTGCTAAGCTAGGGAATGAATGCATTCTTCAGAATACTTTTTG